AACGTAGTAACCGACAATTAAATAAACAAAAATATCGTGGTTTTGTATCTTTCAAAGTTGAAAAAGCTCCAGCTCTTACTCAGTTTAGAACTTGCCTATAAATCACCAGAGAAAAGTCGTTATTGCTGGTTTCACCTGAGTCGTGTGGCTTTTCTCTATGTCCACTTTGATAACTACTGGGTAGAAAGAGAGGAAGAAAATCTCATTACTTAAAAATCCAAACTAAATAAATCATAGAAGAATAATTATATATTACATTTATATATTTTACTAGTTTTGAGATTGAGTGACTTTACACTTTGTCGATTTAGCTAAGCCAGAAATAGAATGTTTCCCAGGATTCCCTCCTCTGTATGGTTCTGAGTTAGGCCTTGGACGCAGAAGAAATCTGCATAAGATCTGAAATGCAGAAATGCGTTGCCGTCATGCAAGACCAAGCTACTGTGGAGGCTTATGAAGTCTTGCCAGTTGCTGGTCACTGAGCAGCCAGGTCTGTGGTTCCTCCAGCTCCAGCCAGATCGGCCCGTCAGCATCTGCAAATCCCAAGCGAGGTGGACTGGAAGAGTACCAGCTCATCCCACAGGCGCCCCATATGACCAAGCTGGCAACCGTGAAAGAGAGAGGCGGGTTCCAGTTTGTCCTCCCAAGTCTGGGGAGTTGTTTATGCGGCTACTCTGCTCATGCACGGTCACTAGGGACAATCAAAATGTAGGCCATGGTTTCAGTCTCATCTGGAGGAGCACCTGCTTCCAATCTCATCTCCGTGGTCACTGGCACGACTCAGCTCATCGCGGGTGTGGGACCGAGGGCCTCACTTTGTCCCCGGATGCTGGCCAGTGGCTCCTTCAGTTACTCTCCACATGGGCCTTTCCAGAGACGCTCATATCATGGCGGCTGGTTTCCATCAGCGCAAGCAAATGAGAGGGCAAGGGGGTGACAGGGGAGAAGCAGAGTCACTTTGTAACCTACTCTTAGAACTGACATCCCATCATCTGGATTACAATGTTTGTTAGAAGGAAGTCACTAGGCTCAGTCCACACTCAGAGGAGAGGATTATAAAAGGCCAGGAATGCCGTAAACAGGGATCACTGAAAGCCATCTTTGGAGCTATCATACCTTTTCAGATCAAAAGGCCTTCTGAGCATGTTAAGTATGTGTTGTGCACACCCATTCTTTACAAAGAAAAACAACTTTAAAAAAAAAAAAGATTTATTTATTTATTTGACAGACAGAGATCACATGTCGGCAGAGAGGCAGGAATGGGAGAGAGGGGGAAGCAGTCTCCCCGCCGAGCAGAGAGCCCGATGCAGGGCTCGATCCCAGGACCCTGGGATCATGACCTGAGCTGAAGGCAGAGGCTTTAACCCACTGAACCACCCAGCTGCCCCAAAACAACAACTCTTAAGAATCACTTTCTCTATAGCACCTTCACAGGAAGATATGGGGTATGGCCTTTGTCTAATGGAGTGATCACAGATTTAAACATAGGAAACTCACAAAGTTTTTAAAGAAAACATGGCAGCTTAGAATGAAGAGCTAGAGACAGACAAATGGAAAAAGTCGTTTCAACCACCAAACAGCAGGAAACAGACTAGGAAGTCTGTGCAGCTGCAAACAGCAGCCATATCTCACAGAAAGGGAAGGATGACTCGAAAGACAGAACCAGGACTCTACACAGTGAGGTCAAGAGTCACGGAGAACAACTTGTGGGGAGTGTGACTCAGCCCCAAGCAGAGGAAAGGTACTATGTGTCAGACCAGATCTCAGAATTCAGTGTACTCGTGACCGCTTCCTGCCTCCCATCTTTTCCCTCTCTGAATGCGAGTATCCGCTGTGGTTATCCTTGGATGGTTTCACCACTTGGGTGGTTGAGGACTTCGTCACTCAGTTCACAGACTTCCAGGACTAAAAGAATATATCCACAGAATTATAACTGAGGATTCTTATCCACACTTGAATGGATTTGGATGGACAGAATCTAGGTCTTAAGCTTGAGCCTGATACTGTAATTAAATTGTATTTTTAGGGAGGCTCTTGGGAGGGAATGTTTTTGTTGCCCATGCAGTAATATGATTCATCTGTGACCAGAAAGTGGACTGTGGCAGTTTTTAAAATTGCTTGCAAGCTCTATGAAACTCTTTTCATTAAGTCTATGTTCCTGTTCCTCAAAGCTGGGTGGGCTTCGCTTCCATCAATAGAATATGGTGGAAGTGATGTCATGTGATTCAAGGCTGGTTTGTAAAGGATTAAAAGCTTCTCCCTTGTTTCCTAGAATACCTGTTCTCGGTATCCTAAGCTTCTATGAAAGGAGTCTGACTAGTTTAAGAACACCAGCATGTGAGGATTCCAAGCTGTGGAGAGGACATATGCAGGCGCTCTGGTCAGGCGTCCTCGTCTTCGAGTGGTTTCAGCCTGGGCTGCAGAGAGTGGATGACAAGCTTTAGGTGACTCTAGCTCCCAGCTATGGATTCACCCCAGGCTCTGAGTCTTTTCACATGATATCCCCGATATTGTGGTGTAGAGACAAGCCATCTTCACCATGTGTCTGAATTCCTGACCCATAGAATTTATGGTAATCATAAAATGGTTGTTCAAAGCAACAAAGTTTCAGTTGCTTAGAGCTGGGACTAAGCCATGAAAAAACCACAATGGCAAAATCATGAAGGAAATGCATATTTGAAGCCAATGTTTAGCTTTGAGGGCAATTGACAGTGAGTATGTTTATAATTATTTTACAGTCTTGTGTGAATGACATGATGGACGTAAATACTCCTAGCACAATGCCTAGCAGTAAAGAACAAGGGTTTATTATCATGCCAAAAGAAATATATGTATGTATTTATTTCCAAATGATTATTGTCAATGGCCTACAAGTAATAATACTCTGGCCCAATGCCCCAAAGCTTTACATGTACATCTCCAGTTTACAGATGGATGAAGATGTGGTTTATCATTTACACAAATCTGGGCAGAGCTAGAATTCAAACCCAGGTCTCTTTAACTCGAAATCTCTTACTTTTTTTTTTAATATTCCTCTCCTTCCATTTTCATATTTAGAGAAAAGATTAAGAAACTAGAATTATGAAAAGTTGCCCCCACAGAGAAGAGACTCAAGACTGAAAACTTAACTTTGTACTTGGAAAAGAGAACAGGAATGATTTGATGATTAGGAATATGATGCGTTTGTATATTGGGGGATTAGGAATATGATAGGTCCTGTATTTTTGAAGAATATATTTACATATATATATCCTTATTTCATAAAAAAAAATTAGAATTTAGAAAAGTAGGTGAGCTCTTAATAAAGCACTTCATTTTGGTAAGTATTAACCCTTCATTGTACATACTAAAGTTTAATCTTCATGATTTAAAAGAAAAAGATAAATACTGGATTTAATTGGAATAACAATACATATAGATATCAACAACACATAGGTTCAGGGCTAAATGGTTATTAAGACCCCTTTAATTCTAATAGAGACAGTAACAGTAGCTCCCTCCTTTGCTGCACTGATTATCTCACAGATGTCCACAAAGGACCAGGCATCTCTCTGAATCCCTGAAGCAGATCTCTAAAGCAGGTGCTACTTTACTACGTCTTCTTCTGCAGGTGAGAAAGCTCGTTAGTAGTCTACTCAAAGAAGTGAACTCAGTTTCCCAAGCTCACTCAGCTAGGAAAGAGTGGAATTGGAATTACAGGATGGTTCAATTTCTCAGTTCTTCATGTTTATGAAGTACTCTAAAGGAAACAAAATAAAATCACATGTGGAGATGACATACTGATATGGCCAATCACAGGCAAAATAAAACTGTAGTACTCAATGTTGGTTTTTATTTGTATATCTGTAAGTCTTTTTTGAATTACAATTCTTGATCTCCTCTGAGAATATCATTGCTGTTATAACTGTAGAGTTCTAATATCCATCCAATGCATAAGTTTTCTACATTTATAGGTGGGTAATTTAAAAATATATACATGGAAAAACATACAATGCTTACAAACCAAATGCAAATAAAAATCTTTAAAAATCTTAGAAATTCATTAAGCAGGTTATGTTGATCCTATTAAAAATGGTTCATCTATGTACAGTACATAATCTTTTAAAAATACTACTCCAGGAAACAAAAATTCTTTGGTTCAGCAAAAGGATTCTCTAAATGTGGAAATTCAATTTGTTAAGGATGCACCCTTTTGGGTTGGGCCTCACTTAACTGCTTTGACTCTTCAGGAAGCATACAGCTGACTGTTTTGGAATGCTGAAAATATGGGTGGAGAGTGGGTAGAAGTTGCTTTTCCCATAGAACATTCGTATGTGAAAATATAACCAGAAGCTTGAATATGCAGGAACTTCGATGTTATTTTTACTCTGCCAGATCAAAAACATACAGAAAAAGTCTACTTCCCATCCACTTGGTGGGTTCACGGTCGATGCCTGACAACATTCTCTAGTGAAGTTCTTCAGTGCTGGTATCCAGTGCCATTGAAACTAGTCTATTCATCATCTGGAAGATTGTGAGGAGACAGGAGGGCATGTGCTGGATGTCCCTTTTACTGAAGTCCCATCACTTCCCCGAGGCTTGCCTACCTTACAAATCTAAAATTATAAACACATTTGTGACTCAAATCTCTTTAAAAAGAGTTATTGATGCAACAGTGATTACAGGGCATCAACATGAGCCAATGAAATTTTCATTAAAAATTAACTGTGGTTATTCTGTATTCTTGATTTATTAATGGCAACAAACACAGAACTGGCCAAAATATCTCAGTTTTGAAGAATCAGCAACCTTACCTATGAGAAGTTATTCTCCTCCATATTTAATGGGAAAGAGAAGCCTTCACAATTTTGTGCCTGCGTGTTTTCTACTTTGATTGTGAAAATATTTAATATATGAGACAAAACCCTACCAAAGGCCCATCACTTGACCCCACATTATAACTACCTTTCGCAAGGCTTTCAGAAAGTCTCTGATATATCACAGCTGGTCACAGGAGAACGAAAAATATTTTTTGCTTTATTTTTTCAAAGTTCCCCATTGGAATATGATTGCTGGCTGGGTGAGATAACTCATTTATTCTCGGAAGTGGCACCATTGACTAATACTTAAACTTACCTTTCCCCAGACTAGTATTAGATGCATGTTAATATGTTTCTAGGTTGAATGCAGGGCAAAATCAAGAGCTTATATCGACTATGCAAGTTTCTGCAGACCACGGCTTTAAGATGCCACAATGCTTACATGGAATTGTTGAGAGCAGGAGAAGTCTTCCAAAGTTCAACCGTGTTCTTCCTTCCATTTGCGTGACTTAGTTGCTCAAAGGCAAGACACTTTTTAAACCTTATTAGGACTCAAAGGAGACAAGTATGATTGGGATGGAGGAATAGAACGCAGAGAAAATGATGCCCCATCAACAAAAATGGTTCTGACTATTGAGAGGGGAAGAGAATGGCCTCCAACATTTGAGAAGAGCAAAGAATAGAATAATACATGAATAATTCAGAGCATCTAAATGAGACATTATAGCTTGGAACCACCTTCATATCCACACTGTCCACCCAGCTCAGGGGCAGGGAATTCTCTTCCCTAATGGTCTCCCCAGAGACATCATAACACTCCAAAGAGAGAAGCGATCGCTGCTGGATTATTGGTCCTTAGAGTCCTCTTCCGGATGTAGAGACAATAATCATCTTTTCTTCGGTCAAAAGTCTTTATCCCAGCCTGACAGCTCATCCGGAGGCACTCCTTTTTCAGGAGGATACTTGTCAAAGTAGCTGTGGTCTGTGGGTCCACTGAGCTAACAGAGGAGGAATTAAGCCAAAGGTGAGGATAATGTTATTATATACAGGTCATGATTTTTATATCTGAACACTGTTTATATACGGTAACCACTGGAAAGTCACAGGTAAGGAGACAAGATGGCCAACTATCATTTCTGAGTCACACTCTCAGCCTCTGAGGTTCCCCCTTTAGACCACATGGATCCAGTCACTGCATTACATTCCACAGAAGTTACCTGGCTTGAGGAGGTAAATCCAAAAGAAAAGGAGACAGAAATGGTATCTAGTTTTTTTTTTTTTTTTCCAGATTGAAAAACACTTTAAAAGCAAGTATTTTTTAAAAATTAAAATTGAGAGCGCCTGGGGGGTTCAGTCGGTTAAGCATCTGCCTTCAGCTCAGGTGATGATCTCAGGGTCCTGGGACCGAGCCCCGCACCAGGCTCACTGCTCATCAAGGAGTCTGCTTCTCCCTCTCCCTCTGCTCCTATGTATGCTCTGTGCTCTCTCTTTCTCAGATAAATAAAATCTTTGAAAAAAATCGGAATCTGCCACTTTTAAATCTTTTTTCTACTTTATAAAAGTTTCTCCCTGACCTTGAATTTCTATACGGTTAATTGACCCATATAAATTTTCCAGGATGCCAAAGGGTCAGTTCAAAATATTATTGACCCTGTTCAAAGAGTGAAATGACTCTGGAATTAAACTATTTTGCAAATCAGGTGATTTTCAATTCTTTGCTTTCAAACAAATTTTAAAAGTACCTGATTGAATTTTCATCTGATAGATCAGTGGAAATACTACTTACGACAAATCATAATGTGTTTTTTTGGAGAGTGGGGAGATCACTCAGAAGGCATTCAAAGTGGTATTGCTTTTATAAAACCCTCCACTCCCAGTTATTTATGTGAACACAACTTTCAGCACTAAATGGCCATATAATTTTAAAAAGGAATAAAATTGACGTGGAACCTGATCCCATTTTTTTAATAAGTAACATTTCTCTCCTGGTACATAAATAATTTCTTTTCAAGAAATAATTGTTAAATACTTGTTTTAAAACTTTGCAACGTATTTCTGTTGTTTCATATTCCATGTTATAAAAATGTAATTACAACTGAATCCAGAAGAAATATGTGTGTTGTCACAGAAATTCCTGTTGTCAGAGAATTTTAAAATTTAGAAACTATAATTAAAACCCATTTAAAGAATAATCAAATACTAGCATCCATAAAAATATTTTTATGTAAGATGAAACTCTTTTGGGAAAATGGGATGGAAATACAAAAATATAAATTCAGAGAGGAAAAGAAATTATGTAATTTTACTGTCTGTAGATTTTAAATGGCTAGTGGGCATCCGATCTCACCAGTGTTTAGATTACACTACATATATTGAAAGGAATAACATTTTACTTTAAAATGTCAATATTCGGGGCGCCTGGGTGGCTCAGTGGGTTAAAGCCTCTGCCTTTGGCTCGGGTCATGATCTCAGGGTCCTGGGATCCAGCCCCGCATCAGGCTCTCTGCTCAGCGGGGAGCCTGCTTCCCCTTCTCTCTCTCTGCCTGCCTCTCTGCCTGCTTGTGATCTCTGTCTGTCAAATAAATAAATAAAATCTTTAAAACATAAATAAATAATGAAATATCAATATTTACAATGTACTAGAAATCACATCCTTCACAACAATTAAAACATATGATGAAAAATTGAGATGTCAACCTAAAAATGGTTTTAAAATTCCTTTAAGAGTCTATAGGGTGCTGACTGAGATCACTGCTGAGTCCTTTGTCGCCCGCCACCCCAAGTTAGCGGATGTTCTGTTTTCTCTCAAGCTGTCCAACCAGCAACAGGTGGCGAGCACCCTGAAAGTGGCCACCCCAAATTGAGACTGCTGTAAAATGCACTTGGGATTTCGAAAACAGTACGGAAAAATGAATGTGACATCTCATTAATATTTTATGTTGATTGTATAACAAAATGACAATTTTCCGATATATTGTAATAATTAAAATTAATTTCACCTTTCAATTCACCTGTGGCTAACTAGAAAATTTCAAATCACAGCACAATTCATATTCTATTTCTAGAGCCTTCCGTGAACCGGAACAACACGGACTGCCTGCAGACTCAGATTTTCCTGTAATTAGTTCCTGAGAACTGAACTGATCTCCATCAAATAAGAGATACAGTTTAGTCCCTATAATCACAATTGCTATGACATTTTCACTTAATTTAAAAAAAATTAAAAATCTAAAATGTGGTACATAAAAACACACCCCTATTCTGTTTATGAAAATAAAAACTAGAAAAAGTTAAGAAAGTAATATAGCGGATACCATACCTCTCTCTGCAAAGGTGATGGAAGGTTCCGTGCTTTCAGTCCCTCCCAATTAAAACCATTTAACCACCTGAGAAGAAAAACAGCACAGAAGAATATTACTTGCCTGATAAACTGTCAGGGTGCCAACTTATCTGTTAGTCTGTTTTGCTGCCCTCTCCCTGACCTCAACAGTGCAGGTGCAAATGGTGGGGGAGGGGAGGAGGAGAGGGGAAAATGCATAACCGCGCTGGCTGTCTGGTCTCACGTTAAATCCATGCCCACTAACCGCAATGCTGCCCAGCAATAGGTCTAGGTTTCCCTGTCATCCCACTCACTGTCACACTCCCTTAGACTCATATTCATACTTTGTCCTCTCTCCTTAGACTTCCAGAAACTACCCCCCATCCTCACTCCCCAATGATGACCCGACTTCTATTTCACTGAGAAAACTGAGCTGGCACAATCTTCTATCAGTCTATCCGCCTGCCTGTCCACATCCGTGTGCTCCCTTCTTTGGGAGCAAAGAAGTCTTTGCTTCTAGGGAAGGTTGGCTCAGCTCTACGTACTTGATCCTGTGGACTTCTCTGCTCAAGGGCATGCTCCTGCCATTCTCCTCTCTCTTGACTCCTCAAGGTCCACCCGCTAGATCCTTCCCATCAATATGAAGACATTTTATTTCTTCCAACCACAAAATAACCTCTCTTAACATGAGCTCCTATCCATCTTTCACTTTGTTTCTCTCCTCCCACAGGAGGAAAACTCCTTGGAGGTTATCCAATCACTCTGCTTACCCGTTTCTCCTACCACACTATCATCAGCATCTACCCTCCACTCCCGTGAAGCTCCTCAGTTCTCAGTTTTTGTCTTACTTCACCTAGGAGCATTGGCCACTGTTCATTATTTACACTTCCTGAAACACTTTTCTCACTTGGCTTCCAGACACGTTATTCTGCCTTCTTGTGTGCTTTCCCTCTATTTCCCACTGCCTTTTCCACAGGAAGCTGGTGTGCTCCAAGGCTCAGTCCTTGGATCTTCTTTTCTCAACTACTCTCACTCCCTGGGTCATCTCAACCAGTCTCGTGACTTTAGACAGCATTTATATATCTACTGGTTACTATTTCTATTTCCAATAAAGACCTCCCCATTGCTTCCCAAGCTAATAGCTACAGCTGTTATTCCTCATCTCCCAAGTGGGTGTCTATCCAGCATGTATCTGGCCCACACTGGAGCTCCAAGTGTTCCCCAAGGCACTGGCCTTGACTCTTGCACTTGTTCAAACCAAGGACATTGAAGTTATCCTTTCTCTCACTCCCTAACTCAGTCCATACTCAAATCTTGTCAATGTTACCTTCAAAATCTGAATTCAGGATCTGAAAAATTCATCACCCTCACTCTACCAGCATGGGCCAAGCCACTACTATTCCTCCCTTGTGTTACTGTAATAACCTCCTAATGGGTCCTCCTGCTTTTGTCCATGAGAAATAACCAAGCAGCAAGTGTGAACATTTAAAACACAAGTCAGGTCACATCAAGCCTTTGTTCAAAAACCCCCCAGTGCATTTTGCTCAGTATGAAAGGCAAAGCCTTTACTAGAAACCCTAAGGCCTTGTACATCACCCTTTCCTGCTCAGTATGAAAGGCAAAGCCTTTACTAGAAACCCTAAGGCCCTTTCCACCACCACGGCACCCCCAGCTCACCACTGTCCTACTTTCTTTCCTCCCTCCCTCCTCACCATTCCTCCAACAAGCTAGAGTTGCTCTCACATTCATAACTTGCACTCAAAGTTAGATGGTTCTTTCCCCAGATTGTCACAGGGTTTGTTCCCCCCAACACCTTCAGGTCTTTTCTCAAAGGTCATTTTCTTAATGAGACCTTCTTTGACTATCCAGAGTACTATTTCACCCCCCCCCCCACTTCCTAACCTCCTCCCTGCTCTAGTTTTCTCTTTAGCTCTTACTGCTCTTGGATGTGTCTGCCATATTCTGTACTTAGTTATGCTGTTGATTCTGCTGCCCCACTAGAATGGTAGCTCCATGAGGGGAGGATCTTCATCTGTATCCTTTCCTTCTGTGTCCCTCACATGTGGAGCAGGACTCGTCATCAAACCAGGCTCAATAAACGTCTTTTGAATACCTGAATGACCCTGCAGGAGAACACACTGCGCAGAACCTCTTACTCTCACATCCTAGAACATCACACGGCCTTAATGGTGATGCTCCTACTGATCCGTACACAAAACGCTCCAAGATAAAAAGGTGTCTTACAGTAATCTGTAAGGAGGTTAAGCTGATAGATGAAGTTTCTTTCATTTATTTGCTTCCACATCATTAATCTAAAAGAAATGATCTGGTCTTTAGGACACACTTCAAACTTGGTGGGCTGGAAATCTAACAGCAGAAGTGGAGATAAAAAATGTATTCTGTCTCTCAGGATCTTAGAAGGAACATGGAATAGTACTGTTCTATACCCACTGATATTTTCTACTGGGACACTGAGGTCAAGTCTGCTAGCTAACAAAATTTACAGAAAGTCAGTTCGGTCCCAGGCACTGGAAAAAACAAAATCCTACTTTTAAGATATTCTTATTTTGGCAGGAAGTGACAAACAAACAAAAACTAGTGAACAAAATTAATTTCAGATACTAGTAAGTACTAGAAAGATAAGGGAGAATAAAGTGGTGGCTGATGACTGGGATGGGACGGGTTGAGAGTGGCTAGAATGAAGACAAAGGGATAGCCATGGGAAGACTTGTGAGATATTTATCTATCTATCTATCACCCTTAAGGCTAGATATAGGTATAGATATATCTCACATATTCTTTATCCTGGGGCCTTATAAATGGAAGGAAGTGATAGAAATGAACTGAAGTGTGGTGAATGGAGCAGAAACTAGGAAAAAAAAATAATAAGGTATCTGAGAACCGGCCAGAGGCCAGTCCATGCAGTCCTTGTAGAACACAGTATGGACTCAGGATTTTACACTTAATGGGAAGCCATTAGAAAGTTCTAAGGAAATGATGGGATCTAAGCACATTTCCAAAAGATGATTCTGGCTGCGATGTGAAGCATGACCACAGGCGCCATGAGGGGCAGCGTAGTGGCACGGGTGTGTGAGGCCGAGCGCCGGGGAATGTGGGTGGCTCTCCCACTCCTGTCAGCCATGCTGAAAATGTTGCCCTTCCATCTTTTCTAATCTCTTCTCACCCCTGGAGTTGGTTTCTGTTCAGTCCTTGAGTGATTCCCTGTTCCAGGTCTAAGCTTAGCAAGAGAAAAAGTACTATAAACAGAGGGAAGGCTCTAGTACATTCCATTTCAGACGCCATTCTTAACCCAAGGGGCCATTTTAGGAGGAGCTGCTGAAACACTGATCAAAGACAGAAAGTCGGACAGCAGCTCTAGCTGTAAGGCGTCCCCTGTGCTGCTACAAAACCACAGATGGCTCTCCTTGACGCACCCGTCGGCTTCTCTGCATAGACTGAACCTTCATTTTTAGGGATTTCTAGGTGCACAGTCATGTGGATTCTTTCCTTTTGTCGCCAAATACTGCCACAATTTCTTTTGACATATTTTACAGTGCTCTCTGCCCAGAAGCAACTCCATAAATATTAATAAAAATCATTACTGTTACCCTACTGAATCAAAGAGCTTATACATTTCTTGCTGAGTACTTGTTACAATTTGCCTTATGGCAATATTTACTTAACATGAGTGGCCATTCACTTAACACTTGGCCTTTTGACACTAACCACATTTTAAGTAACACAAGTGCCAGCATGCTTTCATGTGTAAAAAATATTCACCAAAGAAATATTAGCAGCAATGGCACATAAATTGCTTCTTCATTTTTAGAAGACTGGTAGAAGCTATTCTTGAAAGTAATTTTAGGGTGCCTGGGTGGCTCAAGTGGGTTAAGCCTCTGCCTCTGACTCAGGTCATGATCTCAGGGTCTTGGTATCAAGCCCCGCATCGGGCTCTCTGTTCCTCAGGCAGCCTGCTTCCCCCTCCCTCTCTGCCTGCCTCTCCACCTACTTGTGATCTCTCTCTCTCTGTGTCAAATAAATAAATAAATAAAATCTTTTAAAAAAAAGAAAGAAAATGCAGTGGCTAGAAATATTGAAGGTAACATTAAGGCAGTTGAAACAAATTATTCCTCTATCTAGCAGGAAAGATTTAATTGCACCCTACAAATATATTATCCCTCTGTTCAGACAGGTGTTGGGAGACATGACTGGTGCCTAGTTTATCCATCAGCTGAAAAATAGGGGAGGGGAGAGCTCTGTCTGATTATGTTTTGTTAAAATGATTTAACTCAGAATGTACAAACATAACATGCCATGTTAAATTGCATTGTTTTTAAGTACAAAGTTAAAATGAATTGTTCTCTGAGGAAAAAAGCACACATTTTACTTTAGAGAAGAGTGAGAAAATCTGATGACAAATTTCAGAAAGATTTTCTTTTTACTTCCAACAGTATACAGAGCAGAGAAGCTATAAGCCTTGAAGACTTACGGAAGGTTTTAGAGACCTCCTACTTAAAGACAGGGAGAAATCTATTTTTCAGGTCCCTCCCTGCCCACACACCCCCAACCCCCCTACCTCAGCTTTATATCTTAAGAAACACTAGGAAAATCAGATGAAATAATGTGTGAGCTCCCTGAGCTCGCTGAAAGGCACTGTGTAAATTCGGTCCATCCTACTTTTGAACTCTACCCCATGCACCGCACTCCAAATCTTCCCTTATTGTTAAGAAGAGCGGGCAACATGGGCAGTGACCTCTTTGACATCAGCCACAGCAACTTCTTTCAAGATATGTCTCCAAAGGCAGAGGAAACAAAAGCGAAAATGAATTTTTGGGACTTCATCAAGATCAAAAGCTTCTGTACAGCAAAGGAAACAGTCAACAAAACAGAGAGGCAACCCACGGAATGGGAGAAGATATTTGCAAATGACAGTACAGACAAAAGGCTGATATCCAAGATCTATAAAGAACTCCTCAAACTCAACACCCACAAAACTGATAATCACATCAAAAAATGGGCGGAAGACATGAACAGACACTTCTCCAATGAAGACATACAAATGGCTATCAGACCCATGAAAAAATGTTCATCATCACTAGCCATCAGGGAGATTCAAATTAAAACCACATTGAGATATCACCTTACACCACTTAGAATGGCCAAAATTAACAAGACAGTAAACAACGTGTGTTAGAGAGGGTGTGGAGAAAGGGGAACCCTCTTACACTGTTGGTGGGAATGCAAGTTGGTGCAACCACTTTGGAGAACAGTGTGGAGATTCCTTAAGAAATTAAAAATAGAGCTTCCCTATGACCCTGCAATTGCACTACTGGGTATTTACCCCAAAGATACAGATGTAGTGAAAAGAAGGGCCATCTGTACCCCAATGTTCACAGCATCAACGGCCACATTCCCCAAACTATGGAAAGAACCAAGATGCTCTTCAACGGACGAATGGATAAGGAAGATGTGGTCCATATACACTATGGAGTATGATGCCTCCATCAGAAAGGATGAATACCCAACTTTTGTAACAACATGGACGGGACTGGAAGAGATTATGCTGAGTGAAATAAGTCAGGCAGAGACACTCAATTATGATATGGCTTCACTCACTTGTGGAGCATAAAGAATAACATGGAGGACATGGGGAGATGGAGAGAAGTGAGTTGTGGGAAACTGGAGGGGGAGACAAACCATGAGAGACTGTGGACTCCGAGAAACAAACTGAGGGTTTTGGCAGGGAGGGGGGTGGGGGGTTGGAGCCTGGTGATGGGTATCAAGGAGGCACCGATTGCATGAGCATTGGGTGTGGTGCATAAACAATGAATTCTGGAACACCTAAAAAAAATAAAACGGAGAGAAAAAAAGAAGAGTGGGCAAATTAATCCCTGCAGGGAAGGAAATTCAAAATTCTTCATTACCATGCTGAGGAGAGAAAATCCTTCAGCATCAATTTGCAGCGCACCCAATCACAATTTGACAGCTACATTTAAATGAGTCTCAGGAAATAGGAAAGAAAAGATAAAACCAGAGCATGTTAATCCAACCACCCCAGAACAAAATGTGCAGATGCTTCCTTAATGAGCGAGAAGAGGAAAATGCATCGGAGGAAGGACTTTAGCAGACAGGACACTTGTTTGCTCAGTATCATTGTGAATAGTGTGTTTATGTGTCATTTTTATAAGAAGAAAAGAAATTGTGGTAACAACACGGAGAAAGAGAGATAAATTGGAATCTAAGACAAATAATGAGCTTCACACTGAAGGCAAACAGAAATACTCCAAGCATTTCGATGTCTACAAAACGCATGCGTCTGTCTCTATCATCCTCCCTCTCTCCTAACACACCCTAAGGCAAAGCCCAATATGAATTTACAATGTTGAATTCATGGTTTTATCTCAAGGAAGTTCATGAATAGACAGAGCAGGGCTGGCAGCCTGGGGATTTTTTTTTTTTTTTTTTTTTTTGAAGCTGCACCACTATGTGAAGCAAAATGAATAGTGTTTCTATTCAGAAGCTTCTCTCCCTTTATGTCCACATGTTCTGTGTCTCAGATTCTTCTGTAGAAAATATCCAGATAGGAGTGAAATACTGAAAGGTGTTTTCATTTCTGAACATAAATAATTCAGTGTGTTCACGGGTTGTCAAGGATGAAATTCTCCAATTTAGTTTTTCTATTACCAATAGTACTTATCAGTCAGTGATAGTTTTTGTATAACCTGAGCAAAATTAAAACATTTTGAGGACCACTGGATTTAGCTAGGCATCAGTCATTTAAAAAATCTGAAAGGCTTGGGGGCACCTGGGTGGCTCAGTCCATTAAGTGTCTGCCTCAGCTCAGGTCATGATCCCAGGGTCCTGGGATTCAGCCCCATATCAGTCTCTCTGCTCACTGGGGAGCCTGCTTCTCCCTCTCCCTCTGTCTGCTGATCCCTCCCCCTGCTTGTGCTCTTTCTGTCTTTCCCTCTCTCCATCTCTCCCTGTGTTAAATAAAGAAATAATTAAAAAGAAAACCTGAAAGGCTTGAAGTCCATGTATGTAAACCGAATCAAAGAGGATAATTCACGGAAGTTATCACTGGCTCTAAAGGCCAGCTTTAGAACCTCACAGAACTGCAAAGATGCATGTTAGATTGTTGTATAAACCTACACTTCATTTGAGAGACTTTGTGGAAATCAACGTACTTTACCCCAAATGTAAAATACAACACTAGGCTTCAAAATTGAGAAAGCTAGTCAAAAGAATATTACACTTAAAACAAATATGTATTATTAGCTAGAACTGAAACAGAATACTATTTAACAGTTAATTTCTCTTTAGCATTGACAACGGCAACTATATTGTACTTTAAGCACCAAAAAACGTCAAAATTAGAACTTAATTCCTCAAAGAATCCAAGTTGATATTTTTAAACATAATAAGGGGTTCCTGGGTGGCTCAGCTGGTTGAGCGTCCAACCCTTGATCTCAGTCAGGTCTTGATCTCAGGGTTGTGAGTCTGAGCCCTGTGTTGAGCTCCACACCCAGTGTGGAACCTACTTAAAAAAATAAACATAAAAATAAAAAATAAAAATAGCAAAATATAAAAAGCTAAGTCGCTATAACTTAGAGATGTGATTTTGTCACTTGTTTTAGAATTTCATCCGTTCTTGATGGAATTTTCAGCATTAGAGAAATCACCTTGAGACTGATTATTATAACCACACCTAGTAAAAACAAATTAAAAATAACACCAAAAAGGAAAAACTGAATATCTGTAAAGGGGCCCTTGTGATTTATAAGGTAAGCGTCAAGTACGTTTTTCTATAAATTTCTATTTTTTTCTGGGCTACATACCTGTGTTTCTTAATGTCATTGATTCCATTCTTCAGATTTCCAAGTCTTTCTGTTGGATTTTGCCTAAAATAAAAATTTTTTGACAGGCAATTCATAATAATTATGCTTCAGTGAATTTTAAATTAAAATTTAACATTTTTTCTTTATGTATTCATTTATTCAACAATATTCATAGATTCAGAGGCTGAGTATAGGGAAATGAAAATCACACGGCTCTCTCCAGTGTGTGTGCGTGTATGTGTACACACACACACACACACACACACCGGTGTTTTAAATGAGCTATGAAGAAGGATGCTATCTTATCAACTTTGCTGAGGAAAACAGAGAAAGCTTTAGAGAATCATTTACATCTGAGCTGGAATCTTAGAAACATGCAGAGATTTCTGCTGGCAACCCATAACTAGGTTTCATGTTCTAAATTTACTAAATGCTAATGCTTTCTTAAAAAAAAAAAGTTCAAATGTGCAAAAAAAAAAAAAAAGAAAACAGTGACAAAGTAAAGTTTAAACACAAATTCCAAAAGTCTTCCATTCTCTAATATATTATTTTGAAGGGTAAATAGAAATTAGGAGTAATTTAAAATAAGGCCAGAGATGTACTGCTCTTTAAAATGAAGACTGACAGAAGGCACGTAGTACACTTTATCACCAACATTGGTTTTCTCTCAAAATAACAAGGTTGTAAATTAATTACTCCTTTATTAAACTAATGTTCTTTTTGCCCTAATACACATAAAGATGATTCCCAAGGAGAAGCTGATAACTTTAGATCTCTTTTAAACTGTAAGTAGGTATTGTGGCTCTGTAACATGAAGTAAACTCAAACTCCTAATGAAGAAATGATTTTCTTTGAATATAATTTAGTTGCATGAAAAGTACAAAAAGTAAATGCATGCCTAATTTTAAATTGTGTGGACACAGAAATGAGAAGACTTCACATATTCCCCAAGAACTAGGGTTTTTAATTTTCGTTCTCACCTGCAAAGCCTCCGAATCAAATCCTCAGGTCTTCTTGTGATCTTTCTGGGAAAATCCATTTTTTCAATTCCTTTGAGAATCAGATTATAGGTCATCATCTGGTCGATCCCAGAAAAGGGAGGGCTGGAGGAAAACCAAAACAGGACACTAGGACCAACGTGTCAGACACATTTACAAGTGACTTTCTTACCTTTTTTTCCCTTCCTCCTCCTCCGTTCTCATTAGTCGTTGTATTAAAAAATCTGGATATATGCTAGAAAATAGTTGCATTGACTTCATATCACCTAACAAATGACACACATACACATACAAGTAAGTTGTCAGTTGGTGATAATCACTAAAAAGAAAAATAAAGGAGCAGACGGAGTGACAGAGGGAGGTGTGGTTTTCTCAAACCCGGATGAGGGGAAAAGCCTCTGTCATAAGCTGACAACTGAGCAGTGACATCAATGAAGAGATGCGAGGAATGAGCCGCACAGTCATCTACCAGCAAATGACGCAAGGACAGCAAGTACCAAGGCCGTGAGTCAGGGGTGGCGCCGGTATTCTAGAAAAAGTGAGGAGGTCTGGGTTGCTGGGGGGAAAGTAAGGAAGCAGGAGAGAGGTAGAAGCAATGAGGGCCATATCATGTGAAGCTAGAGGTGACACTAAGGGCCTAGGAAAGTGCTCTGAGTCAGGTGATGGCGTGGACAGCAGTCAGAGTAAGCGTTTTTTAAAAACGTCTCAAAAGTGACCCATGACAGTGCTAGCGGGGGGTAGGAAGTCCTGGTGGCCTGAACGAGATGGCAGAAGGGAAGGTGGTGAGATGGGGTTAGCTCCTGGATCTGTTTAGATGGTAAAGCTAATAGGAGTTGTCAGTGGGGGGAAGGTGATATGTAGGAGAAAGAAAGGATTCGAGAACAATGTGGAAGTGTGTTGACTTCTGGAATGGAGCTACAGCTTTCCAAGAGAAGAAGGCTGGCATGGGGCTGAGAGTGGGAGTCCTGAGGTACAGAGCAGGTTATGAAATGTCCAAATAGAGTTGGGTTTTAAATGTCCACGCAGACCTCTGAATTTGTTAATCTGCATTCAGGAAAGACGTCAGAGCTGGAGGTATGATTATGGGGCATCATGAGATGGGATTTCTGGCAATGGACTTGATGGTATCAGCCAAGGAGAGAGTAGAGGGAAAAGAGAACAAGGACTGAAGTGGCCCAATGTGGAGATGTCAGGAGGATAAGGAGGATCTGGCAGTGAAAACAGAGATGGAGCCATTAGTGTGGGAAAAGAAATGAGAGAAAGGGAGGTCCTAGAAGGCATGTGAAGAGAGTACTTCAGGGGAAGCGTTGCTAAGGTGAGTCAGAAAGCGTTGGGAGTTGACCACTGAATTTGGATAATGTTTTAACCCACACGCTTTGCTATTAAAAACACTTTATTCTATTGTGTCATTTAATTTTTGAAAATTGAAGATGACTTTCATGAACTCCTCTGCTATATCCTGGCCGTGCATGAGACGCTTTGCTACTGAGTTCCCACTCAGGAATAAACTTGAAATAAGGTTGGTGTGACAAGTTGGCAACAATCTCTGTCTTGCTTGTAAAGAAAATAAGATATGGGGGGAAAATAAGTAAATGAGGTATGAAACAAAAAAACACTGCTGTATTTTCCATACATCTATATTTACAATTACGTAGTGTTGTGTTTTAGTTCTTTTTCTCATTTGCATATACCTCCTGACTCTGTAGGGTTCAGGGCATTTAAAATTAACTTTTCTCATGCCCTACCCTGAAAACCTTTACAAGAACAATTCCTTAACATCTTGACAGTTCAAAGCCACTTTAACAAACCCCAAGTTATTGGGGAATCCTTCCTTCCTATTCCCTCACTTTATTTCCTTATTCCTTGTAGAAACGTATCCCAGCTGATAAAGACTGAGTTGTACATTCCCTAGCAACCTACAGGAACCACCATATATTTCTTAGAAATGCAGCTGACAAATTTTGCAGGGATGAAGGAACAAGTTCTTGAAATAGAACTCCTTGTGTCCCAAGACTATAAGCAATTTTCTCTCTGAGTGACATTCTGGAAAATTTTCTCTTCTTTCCTTCAAAATCTTAAGCAATGACTATTTGAAAATGAATACAGACAATATAAAATACTCTTTCATATCTGTTTGCTCAATGCATGTGGACAAGGAGGTCCAATATAGCTACACAAAATCTCACATTAGAAATTTGTAGCGTAGGGGCGGCTGGGTGGCTCAGTGGGTTAAGCCTCTGCCTTCAGCTCAGGTCATGATCTCAGGGTCCTGGGATCGAGCCCCGCGTCGGGCTCTCTGCTCGGCAGGGAGCCTGCTTCCCCCTCTCTCTCTGCCTGCCACTCTGCCTACTTGTGATCTCTCTCTCTCTGTCAAATAAATAAATAAAATCTTAAAAAAAAAGAAATTTGTAGTGTAAAAGTTCAAGATTTTATGAAATTCTTTCTAAGTATGTGTTGAGACTTGAAGCCCACCGAAGGGCTCGTTCCAGTATTTGGTATGCCAGTCCATGTGCAAATCCTCTGAAAATCTGAGAATATCTGCTTATAAGGGTTTGTAAGGATGATCAAATCAGCTGATGAGAAACAGAGGAGAAAACTGAACTGTATCCCACGGGGGTGTCCACGTGTTACATTAAAAACGCACATTGTAAGGCGTCAGCATACAGTGGAAAGTGGGTCATATTTAGGGTCAGAAGATCTGGGATCAAATCCCTGATCTTAAGCAGGTAGCTCTCTGTCCTGACTGTCTAATCCATAACACTGAAGTCATAAAATAATAAAAATTCTTATTTAACTTCCACACAGATCCGTGAAAACGAAACTAGAGAATACATATGTGGGAGCTTTATAATGTGTAAAGCGCTTCACCGTCCGAGGTAGGATGGCATGGGGCCTGTGTATGTGTGTGTGCATGTGTGGGTGTAAATGCTTGTGCATGTGTGTGTATGCGTGCATGCATGTTGAATATCTGGGGTCCCGGATTCATTAATACAGCCCTTTAATCCCTCCAGGAGCGACAATTCAGTTTGGACCGCTAAGCCTCCTGCCGTGTCTGGTCTCTGTTCATTAGCACCTCTGGAAAGCAGCTGACAAGGAGATTAAAATTTAGATCCAGCAATGTTCCTTTTCTTAGCTTTTCTGGTTAGTGATTTATTGGGAAGATGGAAGAACGGGGCTAAATTTAGTTTCATTGTTTAATGGATTTAATTGAAACATGATTACAATTTTCTTGATTACCAAAAATATATACAAGAGGAAATAAAAACAGCCTACAGCCTCAATTCCTCTCCTAATTCTCACAACAGAATTACCAAACCTTCCCACAGTTAACAGGTCATCTATAACAACAGGTCCTGACATTTTAGGTAAACCAGAGCTATTCTGTACATCTTTCCTGTACATTCCCACATGTTTTCTCCATGTTACAAACCAGCAAGCATGTTATATGCAGAATAGACAAAGGGGAAAAGGCATCACATGTAATCAAAACCATTCTAAAATGTTAAACTCTTAAATTATATACTTTTTTATCATCAGTCAATTATTTTGGCACTTCTGTGAACTTGAAGGTGACTTACTTGCCCGTTAGGAGCTCATACACTAGAATCCCCAGAGACCAAAAATCCACACTGAAGTCATGTCCTTTGTTGAGAATGACTTCAGGAGCTACATACTCTGGAGTTCCGCAGAATGTCCATGTCTTCTGTCCAGATCCTATTTTCTTAGCAAATCCAAAGTCAACCTGGAAAAGGATGTCAAAGACATTTTCAGAGACTATAAACTCATGTTCTTCTTTATGTCTCCCTCTAACTTCTCCTACCTGCTGTCTACACCTCTGCCCTCCCCTTCACACACATATACACACACACCACTGACCCTCTCATTTATTCTTTTGCAGGACCAGGTACAAATCTAGTTATACTGGAGCAAGTTCCACATACACACTTCTAAGCCCATGACCCCTAAAAGAGGAGAGAAATGGCTAGTAGGTGTAGGCCATTACAACATATGTACAGCTCAGAACAAGCAGACAATTTTCTAATCAATGGTGGCACTCATTAGGGAGAGGAGAGAAAGGGGAGGAGATAGACCCTGGTGCACTTTAGGCTCCGTCATAAAAGAAAAGCAATAGCAAATTTGAGAGTCTGGGAAAGAGACCATTGTTGAGAAAAAGGAGTCTTAAAAGTCGGATCCATCTTTAAAAACCACGATGCACCATGTCTGCACCCTTGACATTCTCGCTTTCCAAAGAAAAAGTCAGAATCACCTCTTCTCAACGTGGGCCAGACCATGGACACTTGGAGTCCTTCTCGGGCAAGTCAGCGGCGAATAGCCCTGCATGAACTTACTTGTCCTGAAAAGACAGTCGGCCTCCACCACTGGCCAGGCTCTGTGCTAGGCTTACAGAGACAGAGCTGCCTGGGAGAAACCCAGAGTGCGGGGAATACTTACACATATGCGATTAATACTGCTTCAAGGGATACATGAGAGAGTGGAAGATGACGCAGGGGGCCAAAAAACATACCCTTCTGGAACACGAGGGAGAAGACCACGGCAGAAGATGTCATTAGGAGATGATACCTGAGCTCAGCCCTGACTCAGGATGAGGAACTCTCCCGGTACTGAATCGGCGCTACCCTCCCCCGTCTCTGCAGAGTAGGTCCCTCCACTTCTCTGAGGCTCTATTCAATGAACCAGCCTCGTGCCCAGAGTAGAAATGGGCAAGAAGTCCGGAGTGACAGGAAGACCCGCTCACTGGGTGGAGGCCGTGAGCGTGACTGACGTTCGCCCGCAAGACAGACAGCTGCATTCTGTCCGCGGACGCTGTTTGGCTGGTACTTTTCATCTCCAGTATATGCAGGAATTCTCATAGGACCCCCTCTCCTCCCCGGGGTAAAAACACACAAATTATACCTGAGCCTCAACATGCACGTGTTAATGGTTTCATTACGCACATGGACTATCGCAATAAAATGACAATAATATTGAGTAAAAAAACAAAAAATAAGGTTAACATATCAAAATAGGCCCTCATCTGAAAGAGTATGTCAATGAACTATAAAATCCAGCCCTCCTTTATTTATTCAAACACTAATATTTAAGGTCTTTGTGTTATATGTTAAATCTCTTAGAAATTTAGCATTTCAGTAATACCTTTTAGTATTTATCATGTAACAGCAAGGATTTCCTTATTAGAAAAAGGAAATTTAAACAGCCTAATTTGAAGTGGGATTTTACCAGTTTCTTCTATCTATACAGAATGACTCATAAAGATTTTATCTAAGGGATGGCTGGGGATACTATGAAATTAAAATTTGTAACCAGCTGAGATTAGCTTATCTACTTATTCCTCAGAGAAGGAACCAATATGAAAATCCTAGCTAATTTTATAAAGACTGAAATTTAAGAGACAAGAAAGCAATGTTTATAATTGCGTTTGTGTGTATGCACATATGGAGATATTATAGTTTGTTGTTTTATAATAGCCTTTCAATACATTTTTTCATAACATTTAAGTTTTCCTTTTAAAAATGACTGTGTGTTCATTAGACGTTTAAGAATTTTTCTAGCTCTGAAAATGGTGAATTTTAATTTGAATAGCTGGTTTTGCTTTTGTAGTATTTGAATACTGACCCACAGAGATGGCCATAAGTATATTAAGATTTTAAGATTTATGGGAACTTACCACTTTTCTTTGATCTTATCAACTTTAGTCTAACCCATCTGGTTAGACTGGTTAGGAAATAGACACTCAGACCGATTTAAAGTCACATGCTTAATCGAGAAGGCCTCAGATCTTCTGATATCAAGTTCTGTGTATTTTCTATAACCATTCCCACCACCTCTGTCTTATAACCATGGATTCCACCACAAAGCTCAAGTCTTTTTAAACCTCTCTCTCTAGGCAACAGAGATGTAAGTTCCTTCCTTCCTTCCTTCACTCGCTAAGTATCTACAGAAGACCAGTATGTACCAAGCACCAGGATACAGACAGAGCCCCAGTCCTCTCAGAGATGGCATCTGAGAGAAAGAGGAGAACAAACATGAAAATAGAAGATCATATATAGTAATGCCAGATAGTGACCTATGTTATGAAGAAACATATGGCAGAGTGAGGTATGGAGATCAATAGGAATTTTACTTTAAATAGGGTGGCCGGGAAAAGGCTCTCTGAGGAGGTAGCATTTGAGAAGATTTCAGCAGGAATCTGCCTGAAATGAGAAAAAGGCTCATAAAAATCTGAGCAAGAATGATTCTGACAGAGAAAGAGCAGCACAAAGGCCCTCGCCTTCGGGAACGTGCGTGGTAAGTTCAAGGATCGGCATAAAGGACAGTATGGCTGGGCCACTGCATGTGTGGGGAAGACAGACGGGAAGTGAGGGCAGAGTTTGTTTTGCATTGGCCTGGTAAACCCCAGAAAGAACTGCAGAAATTTTTTTTTTTTGGTCTAAGAGGCCACTAGAGGATTGAGAGAAGGCTATACATGTCCTGACTAGTTTTAAAGGATCCTTCTAGAAGGCAAGAAAACAGACCCACACTTTTTTTTTTTTTAATTCTACTCACAAAACGGATCTTTCAAGAATATCCAGAGAAGCTATACACATGCTTTCTCTTGCCTCTATCAAATTTCCATTATGAAAGTCGGCTTACATGATGCTGAGAGCTTAAAAACATTAAATCTCCAAGAATCTTCATGAACTAGAAGGTTTGAAGAGGGGTTCTAAATCTGCAGTGGTGGTCGCGTCATTCAGAAATAGAAAAATTAGCACTGTGGCTTGCTGGAGCCTGTGTCCGGTCAGTATTAGCTTTTTCCCAGAAGTTTCTCTCTGGGCCAGGAAATTTGTCAGCCATTGGTTCTTTTGGTCACATAAAAAATGGATACAAAATGACCAGTCTGATTAAGCCAAATGACTCATGGGGACATAACTTTCCAAAACAATATTTATGTGGGATTTTCAGGGCACCCACTTTACCCAAGTCTAGACAAGGGTACAATGGAATCCGTGTATCCCCTGTGCAACAACCAAAGACGATTTCACGTCCTTGCGATGTTGAGTCCGTCCACCCACACAGGCAGGGGCCGACGGCTTCCACAGGGCGGGAGCGGAGGGAGGGAGGCAAAGGCATGCGTCTTGTCTTTCACGGCAACAACCCACTCTGCATGGGGGAGTGGTGACTCACCCCGAATTCTCAGTGCGTTTACTAGAAAGGGAGCAAGCTGAAGGGGAGCTCAGACCCAAAAATTTCTGCTCATCTCCTAGGCCACCTCCTCTTTGAAGCCCTCCTTGAATTTACAGAACCAGTTCCTTTCTCCTCCGAGGTGCTTTAACACTGTTTCTACTCCACAGTTACGTCCTTGGGGCAAAATCCTGCAGTCATGTGTGAGGAACTCTAGCTCCTTGAGGAGAAGCCGCAGTATATCCTACTCACTTTGTAACCCGAGAGCATCTGTGACACAGCAGATGTCCAACACCTGTGTGGTGAAAAAAATCTGAATGAAGAGATAACTGTCCTCCATGCTATTTGTTATGCTCCACAAATAAGTGAAACCATATGATAATTGACTCTCTCTGCTTGACTTACTTCACTCAGCATAATCTAATAGCATGGAGGACATGGGGAGTTAGGAGAAGGGAGTTGAGGGAAATTGGAAGGGGAGGTGAACAATGAGAGACTATGGACTCTGAAAAACAATCTGAAGGGTTTGAAGAAGTGGGGGGGTGGGAGGTTGGGGGAACCAGGTGGTGGGTATTAGAGAGGGCACGGATTGCATGGAGCACTGGGTGTGGTACAAAAACAATGAATACTGTTATGCTGAAAATAAAGTAGAAAAATTATTTAAAAAAAAAGAGATACTGTTCACACCAGTTTCGATAAGATATGTAAATGCACATGTACATGTATGTGTGCGATCTTCACAACAGCTCGGGGGGGTGAGGGACGGTCTTCCCAATGTCAGAGCAGAAAATGAAACTCTCGGAAGGCCGTGGATACTTGAGGTGAGGCTCGAACCAGGCTCCAAAGGGAACCTTCCCGTTATACATAAATTGACAAGGAAGTAGAAGATTTTTAAGAGGAAAGCAGCAACATATATTCAGCACATTGGTGGGAAAAGCTTAATCGCTACTTAATAAGTACAACCAATAAGGGTCTGGCAGAAAGGATATAGTAGGAGCTGATAATTTCATTGGTCAAGTGAGAAAAAGCTTGAAACATATAACGAGACCCGTATGCAGGTTATAAAGCCTGAGCAGAAAAGCAGAACCCCGTAGCCACCAGCAGGTTAATGAGCAGTCGGTGCAGAAGCCTGGTGTGTTCCTTCCCTGGAGACCCACTGCCCATTGTCAAGAGGTCACCACTACCCTGAGGCTGGTGTTCGCTGGGTACTCGCATTCCTTTCTAATTTTACCACGTACTTCAGATCCTTAAGTAAAATAAGTTCTTGTTTTTAAAAACTTTAGATACGTCTTACATCTATTCTTACATCTATTCTTGGACAAACTGCCTAATTTCGTTTAAAATTACCTTTGTGAATTGATATTGGAGCACATTTGTTTTCACCTCTTTATCATACAGCACTGAATTAACGTGCAATGATTTTCTGGTCCATTCTGCTATTGATGGACATTCACCTTGAATCGGAGAGTGTTCTACCACAAAAATGCTTCTACTAATATTGTTTTCCACGTTACGTAGCAGAGGTCCATGTAAGATGGTAGAATTACAAGATCAAAGATGTGA